CCGTCCTCTGGGGATGGGGTACCATTCATGATGGGCCCCAGGAGGTGGAGAGGGACAGCCTGTGGGGAGGGGCAGCAAGGAGGGAGGCGGCCAGAAGACACGGGGTGAGCGGCAGCAGCTGCAGAAGGGAGAAAGAGGCACACAGAGTCACTGCAGAGGTGGGACCGGGAGCGTCCCTCCCCAAGCCAGGGGCTCCCTACTCTGCAAGACCTTGGAGAGAAGAGAATCCAACTGCCTCGTTCCCATTCCCAGGCACCTCAGAAGTGTCCCCAAGTTCTATCTGCAGCTCCCCAGGAGCAAAGGTCCTGCAGGCACCTTCCTCCACAAGGCTCTGCCAGACAGTCATTCTCCTCTTCTAAGGCAGACCCTCGCTGCCTGTCACACTTCCCCTTGTGCCATCAAACAGGCTTCCACAGGTCCTCTTATCTTTCCTAGCAAGAGGATTTAATACCCTTTCTATCAGGTGAGGAAACCGAAGGTCAGACAAGTCTTGGAACTCCCAGCCTACTGTTTGTCGAACTGCACAGTCCTCGCCCCCAGGAATTGGCTGGACCGTCTCAGCCACAGCTCCTCGCTGCCCTGACTCCTGGGCCCAGCAGCCACTGGAACCGCAGAGTTTATTCACTCAGGTCAATGGACAGGAGGTGGACAGAGACAGTAACTGTCTCAGAAGCGGACTGCAGAGCCCAGCACCCACGAACTGTGTAAAGGAGCCTCGGAATGGCCACAGCCCGCTTCTTGGGTGCCCCTCAGTCAGGGGCCCAGCGGCAGTGGCACATGAGGCGCAGATGGTGGGCTGGGACAGAGCAAGTCTGCTGGCCAGGGCAGAAATAAAAAATCACAGGGAGCTGAGGATTTTCCTCCTCCTTCTTCTGCCTCTGGGGAGTGTGCCCTAAAGGCCGGTTAGTACAGTGGTTAAGGCCACAGGTACGGAGTCAGACTCAGGCTGACTCCACCTATCAGCTGTGATCCTGAAAGTTCACACATTGTCTTTTGAGCCCCAACTCTATCTGTGGAACAGAGCTAATGATTCCCCCCCCCCGCCAGCTGTTGGAAGAATGAAATGGAATGAAACGTGTCAGTGCCTGACACAAAGTAAGCACAGGAGAAATGACTGCCATTATTACCATCTTTATGGGGGAGGATAGTATTCGAGTTCCAATTTTCTAAAAGAGCAATTAGAGAGAGGAAGGCTTCCTAAGATTTCAAGACTAGAGCAAGAGCTGGGTGTGGAATCTACAACCCATGGCTCGTTAGTGCTCCTCCCTGAACTGTGCTGGAGGGACAGGGCCCAGGACTGGGGTAAAGGCAGCTCAGAAAGTCTCCAAACCATCGGCACCCCTGGACCTCTGCTCAAACGGCAGTCAGGCTGTAAACCGGGACCACTCCCTCTTTCTCGGCCTCAGCCCTACACACTTAGATGGCCCCAACCCTAGGGACAACTCCGAACCCACAGATGCAGCCAGGAGATGCAGGAGTCACGGAGCAGAGGGGAACCGAGCCAAGAGGTGCAGACAGCAGAGAGGGATCCCCAGGCAGAAGCCACCTTGGTTCACACCGGCCCACCCAGCCCGCTCCAGGCCCGCTGACCCTGCAGCTCCTGAGCTGGTGACTCAGTTTCTCTTCTGCTCAGCAGGGCTCAGACACATTTTTTTCCCGGTGCACCTGCCTCTTGGCTCGGTTCTGACATTTCCCGAAGGGCAGGTGGTAGAGGGTGCAGGTTCCTCTCCTGGCTTGGACCCTCTGGGCCGCGTGGTCAATCCACTCCGACCCGACCCTACTTGCGGGACACCCCCCCACACGCGCCCGCTCCCCAGGCTGCACCCTGCTGGGGACCGGCCCTGTCCGCCGCACTCTGCAGGGCCGAGTGCCCCTCC